GAGTCCTCTATGGATCTTGAGTAAATGCTTTTCACACTTTTGTCAGAACTGGACCCATCTTGATAAAACAAAACCGGCTCTTGGTTACTGTCCGTTGATACATTTTTACTGTCTGGCTTATCTAGTGCAGAGAATTTACTGAGTTTGCAGCGTACTTTGCTTCTCTGACTAAGTAATACTGTAGGTTCTGTAACAACCGAGGCTATTGGATTAATAGTATCATCAGATTTTTTATTCTGCAAAATACTTTTGGTTGTACTTTTCTGTCCTAGTAATGGTTCTGTATTCTCAGCTTCACTAGACAATGAACATTCTTGTTCTATTCTAGTTAGGTTTGGAGTTGTGACCTTGAACAGACGTTTTGCATTTAGTTTTGGTGTCGATGAATAAAGATTCAAATTGGGTCTAATAAGTTTCCTATAACTTGAAGGTAAAATTGGTGACACTTCATCTGCTACACTTTCACCAGCCTTTTCTGGTGTAGTATCTGTATTTTCCTCTATAATCCCATCTTTGGTATGAACATCCTGCTGATTATCAGGCATCTTTGAGCAACTGGGAATTGGACTGTAAGCATTCCCTTCATCTGAGTCTGGTATGACTATGGCCTTTTGCATTTCCTGTGTCTGTGCTATTAGAAGATTTACATCTTCTGATATATCCACATCTTCAATCTCCAAGATATCAGACTGCAGACATCCCTTTATCCTTCTGCTTTCCATCCACTCATCGACTACCGATATGACATCTGTAGGACTTAAGGGTTCATCGATTTCCTCGTCACTTGGGATAGAATGTGGAGGTGTTAGAACGCGGAGCGGAGACAGAGATCTGACGGACAACACTGACATGACCTGCTTAGATAGACTATCCAAAGCAGGTGTAATATCCCTTGAGTCCTTTTTTTCTACCTCCATATCCTCTTCACAGTTCACTGACGAATTGTTTGGCTCTTTACTTCGGGAGTTATTTTCTTTACTTCTACTAAACGAGGAGGTTATCAAATCACCCCCTTCGGACAAGATGTCAAAGTCCTCGAGATCTTGGTGATTTTGGGACTTCAATTCCTCCGCATTCTTCCTCGCTTTCTGGCTGTTGAACATGTCCGTAATGAGGTTCGTTTGCTTGGCTTTCACGTTTTTTTTCTTCTCTCCTTTTGTTATTTTCGATTTCTTCTTTGGTAGCTCGTCCTTTGATGTCGTTGCCTTTGTTGTCCGTGTCTCTTTATCTGTTCAAAGAGCGAACACTGTATACATTTCTTATCAAAATTCTTTTCAGGTGATTCAAAATTTTTTCTCAAATTTGCTTACTTCATCAATGACTGAAGGATAAAAAAAAAAAGCCAAATGAAAACTGAAATATCAAACAATTTTTCAAAACTATATCAACAGCTAACAAGATTTCCTCATAATATCATAACCTTTTAGGAAGGCATACAGTGAAGCTTTTCTAAAGTAATGATGAAAATAACTAAAAAAAAAGATCTCCAGACAGTCATAATAAAACATAATAAGCTGTGTATAATTTTCATATGAATTTACTGTTCTGAAACTTTTAGTTAATTCTTTGGGGGATTTACATGACCTGCAGGCATCCAAACCAAACAATGAGGAAATACACAAAACCACAAACCTTCTATGTAGCTCATATCCAGAAAGGCCTGCATCTCAAGGCTATAGGGGTCTTCATCTGGGTCAAGAAGGATCTGCAGGTCGATGAATTCCGTGAGCTGAACCAGATTCTGTGACTGCACCGAGTGTCCAACCACATGTGTCTTCTGCAGCATGGTTTGCCAGGGTTGGTAGTTCCCAAAGTTTACTGTGGACATTTCCTCCTTCACTTCTTGTTCTGTAAGTATAGCCACTAGTATTAATTGTCATTTCAGATTAATTCTCAAGAGCGTTCAGTGCACTGTACTCTGGTCGACTTATTGTCTGTAATTATAATTTAAGAACAACATTTTGATTCAAATAACAAATTACATGCATATATATATATATATTCAGTGTAATGCTACATATAACCACATATATTCCAGCACACACAGCAACTAAAAAAAATATTAGTAACTCTAACATCACCTGCGCTTTGGGAACACTCACCCTCTTTCTTCAAGCTCATGAATACTGGCTTTGCTATAGTCTTGACCTCTTCCGGCGGAACCCACAAATTGTCTCTTAACCACTGCCATTCCTCCCGACTTAGCATACCAACTTTACCTTGTTGTTTCTGTAACATGATATTGATATAATCCAGATAGCATTCAGTAATGTTTTCTATGCCTATGCTAACTGCCAAATGAACATCAAATCAGCTTACGTTTCCAAATCATATAAACAAAACATAATCGCCCAAATAAACGTACAGTTCCTACCAGATATATTTCTACTCGTGTCCCTTTGAGGAAAACTTACCTTCTTTGGCATATTAGTGTTTTCTAGGAGTGAGCCTGAGAGGGACTTTGAGCCTATGTCAGATTTGCGTTCCTTGCCTGTCTTGGGTTTTCCATGTGCCTATCTTCATGTGGAGCTTGTGGCATACAGGCATTATACCTTGCAAATGAATGAATAAATAAAGTATGTTGCCTCCAAAACAAATAAATAAGGTGAATGAATATATATGTTATTTTATCTATGTGCATAAATAAACAATGTGTTATAATTTGCAAATGGATAAACTGTGTTATAATTTGCAAATGGATAAACTGTGTTATAACTTGCAAATAAATAAACAATTAGGGAGTTTTGCCTTGCAATTAAATATTTAAATAGGGTTATTTCTCTTTTTCAAATCAGTTCTTCAAATAAAAAAAGTAATGAAAATTGAGAACTGGGATAAAGTAATGTCAGGCTATTTCCCAACCTACCTCTTGGCACCATGCGATCATTTGAAGGAAAGAGAAACCTTTTCAGTTTTTCTCCATCTGATAGAGCTATATTGATGCGTTTCTTCTGTAACTGACTCTGGTTATACATCTGTAATGCCAGAGAGGAATAAATACATTCAGCAAATACACATTAGATTAAATTACTTGATACAAATTTTAGAAATGAACCGTAAAAAAAAGACAAGGAATTTTCCTAGTGAATTAAAATGTTATTGCAATATAAAATAAAGTTCCATAACAAATAATTACCGACCACCATTAGCTCACCTGTTCCTCTTTCCCCTTTGTTACTAGGATGATGATACGGCCCTCGCGTTTCCTGCCTGTACGACCAATCCTCTGCACCAGACGGATCGGGGACTTGGGCGCATCGTAGCAAATGATGAGATCAACTTCGCCAATGTCCAAGCCTGCAAATGTTTTACTCCATTTAATGATCTCCATAGAAAAAGTCCTGTTCATTTTGTGGCATTCATCCGTGTTCTTTCAAAAATAAAACTGGTTCTTCCCAGTTGATGGATATTTATTTTGATAGAATTCCCATTTTCCTTTCATATTATGTTCATCGTTACTAATTTACCAAAGGTAGAAATGAGAATGAATAACTGTACAGTGAATGAGTCACAACCAATTGTCGCAAGACCAACAAACACAAACATACACGAGAATGAAATAAGAGAGACTTGAACATTCCACTGTATTTGAGCTTGAGTATATGAGTGTATGATTTGTTCAGCATCCAGCATGAGATGCTACATGGGTTGACAGGTCATGCCAGGTCAGCAACCCATGTATAATCTTTTATTGTGTTGTTTTGGTCCTATTGATATATATTTCCATTCGAACAATTTAGCTAACTAAAAAGTTTGAGGAAGGTATGAATCAAGAAGCACCTTTTACCTTTCTTGCTTTGAGAAATTATTCATTCTCACAGGTTCCCTTGAAAGCAAAATCATTTTATAAAATCTTGAAGATACTTGCCTTCTTCTCCTACACACGTTGAAGTTAAAGTGTTAAACCCCCCTTCTTTGAACTCTTTCACAACCTGAAAATTAAATCATCTGTAAGAACTATTCAGTCGGTCTCCATTTTTAATCTGGACAAACACATAACCACAACACATCTATGTCTATTTCCACCAATGCCTAAAAATTACATGTGTAGTGTATGTATGTATATATATTATATACATATATACATATACATATACATACATACACTCACACAGATCACTGGCACCACGTCACGGCACCAACGATCCCCCGGGGCTCTTTGCTGCCACCTTTGTAATCTCTCCTTATGATATAATGCTATGGTATAAAATGGCATATATCATAATGCTGAACAACATAATAAATAAAATAGATGCCTTGCGTTTTCCTGTCGGCCCAGAAGTACTTGTTTATATGTATGACGCAGTTATGTGACTCGTAATTCTGGTGATGGGGGGGGGGGGGGAACTTTTCTTGGGGGAGGGGGGGAGGGGAGAAAGGTGAAGGAAAGAGAAGATGATAAGAAAAAAAAAATAGTTTTATATTTCGTACGTATCTCTCTTCTTCTTCTTTTTTGTCATATGTTATTGTTTGTTTTTCTACTGAAGAATCAGAATAAGAAATATATAAGAAGAAAAGAAAATGTATTTCCTATTTTTCTTATTGCCTCAGTTATCGTTTATTCTCTTCTTGTTAAATATGTTAGTTACCCCTTTGATGCTCAGAACACCACGTTTTCTGTGTTTACCCTCAGTTCCTTTGTTATTATCTCAGAATTAAAAAATATCTATATTTTTTTGATAAATAAATAGTAAGTTTTCTATATGTGCTCTAGAATAATATTGAATAATCTATATGTCATTAAAAACTAGAATAGAGAAGTACTTATTTTCCATAAATAATATATTTGTGTGTAACCATTGAAAAATAAAGGCCACTACGTGGCACTGCATTCCAGCCACAGGATTCGACTTGGAAGGACTCTCCTCTCTTCTCTCCCTGCATTGAAGTAGCCTCTCCTGGCTATTTCAGAGTGAAGGGAGGATTGTGCTGGCCAGGAAGACCGACGGGGCGCAGCAGGTGGCACTTGGCCGCCCGGTAACGCGAAGATAGCTACCGTGATGCCGTAATGCGTATCGGCCGCAACATCATGCCGACGACGCCAAGAAGGACACCATAATGCCCTGAGCTCTGTGGCTGGCTGCCATGCCATGACCAAAGGAGCAAAGGGTGTCTACGTGATGCCTGATTGACGGAACTTTGCCGAGGGTGTTTTAAAGAGATGTTTTTAAAGAGATCAACTGGAGCCACCCCTCGGCAACATCAGGCCGCCCTCGTTGCTGCCACGAAGTTATTTGCTTGCATCTAACTTCGTGCCCTATAGCCTACTCTTTCCTTTACGGATTTTTTCGGCATTAGGATGACTCTCTGTGCACCTTCTGGTGAACTGGACCCCATCTTCGGGCTCGTGCTCGGACGTGGGCAGACCTTTACCTCCCGCAGGGGAGGGTGTGTCTGGGGGGGCCTTAGCGTGCCTGCCTTACGGTGCACAGAGAGTTGCCAATCTTTTTGCTAGGGACTGGTCTGGCAGACCATGTTAATGACTGCCACTCTAGTAATTCGTTTAGGGCGATAGGCAGGTAGGAGCCCCTCCCCTTTGGCATTAGCTCTGTCGAAATAGCTGCTGCTAGACAGAACACTGCCTTATTTAGCCGCCACTGGAACCGCCTTGAAAAAAGTTAGCTTCTCTCCCTCAATGTGGTGAAGCAGCCTTGACTGGCTGCTTCTGAGGGGCGAAAAAGCTTCCTTGAAAAGGTACAGGCCTCCTCCTTTCTCACTGTGGTAAACAAGCTTTGGCTGTTTCAGAGGAAGGAGGAATTCACTTTGAAAAAGGCTTAAACCCTCCCCCCTCCCAGGGTTGAGAGGAAACAGCTGGAAAAAGTGAAAGAGCTCCATCCCTCATTGTGGAGAAGCAAGCAACCATTGGGTGATTGCTTCTGAGGGATGAGCACAGGGTTCCAAACAATGATGTTCAGTAGGTGGAAGAACATCCCCTCTGGTCTCTCCCCAGGGGTTCACACCTACACCGGCTCCTACAACGATATTGTCCCGCCACTGGAACCACCTCGAAAGGCAGCTTCTCTCCCTCACTGGAGGGCTGAACGAGCTTCCCTGTAAAGGTGCAGGACTCCTCCTTCCTCACTGTGGTGAAACAAGCTTTGGCTGTTTCAGAGGAAGGAGGAAATCACTTTGAAAAAGGTTCAAACTTTTTCCGGCAGGTTCCTCTCATCCCTATCAAGGGATGAGAGGAACCTGCCGGAAAAAGTGAAAGGGCTCATCTCTCTCCGAGGGACGAGCACTAGGGTTCCAAACAATGATGTCCCGTAGGTGAAAGGACATCCCCTCTGGTCTCTCCCCAGGGGTTTACACCTACCCACGCGTTTGCCGTGCGTGGCAGCCTCGTGCGCTGTGGAGACGGGAGTCCTGGAGTCTGAGCGATGCCGTGAATGAGTACGCCCTGCGGCTAGCAACACGCCTCTTTGGTCCTCTATTCCAGCAAGACAGGAGACCTGATCCCGGCCCGGTCACGGTCAATCGGCTGGTCTCCCACGGGAGGCTAGGGCCAAGCAGTCATGCCTCCATTGGCACTCACAATGGTCCGTGAGTGCCGCCACAATGGTTATTGGCTGCGTATATCCTCTCATCACCCCTGTGGCTGTCAGACACTGGCTCTGACACACAGCTTCCCCTTGTTGGACTCCGTGGTGGGTGGGGGCGTGAGAGGATGAAGCACTTACCAGTATATGGAAAAATTAAATAAAAAAACCCCACTAGATAAAAATGTTGACGAACCACGCAATGCCCAGACCACGGTAGCCACCTTGGAGCCATACATGTCTCCAGATGGCGGAATAGTCCATCAGAGAGTGAAAGAGATGGACTCTCGTGCTGGTCTCTCCAGACCAGCACCCAAGCCAGGGAAGCCTCTGAGTCCCCCTCAGGTGGCTTCCCTGACAGGGGCGCGAGCACAGGCTGGACCAGCCGAACCAGCAGCTGCTCCCCCCACGAACGAGCCCACCAGCCGACAGGGCTCACAGAAGCGACCAAGGCCGGAGACGGACTCAGTCGCTTGACCCATTTCAAGGTCCCAGCCAAACCAGAAGGCTTCGACAATGCCTACCAATTGGTGAGAGCATTGGAGATGCACAGAAAACTCCGGCTCTCAATCCGAGTAGCCCGAGACCAAGGCATGATCATAGTGCCGAAAGACCGTGCCACCCTGAACTTCCTTCGGGAAATCAGGGAACTCGCAGAGGGGAGAAAAGTGAGTCTTTCCCCATTGACCCCCGAGGATAAGAGAAGCAAGATGGTGTTACTTGGCTTCCCAGTCTCATATGATGTGGAGCTAATCACTTCACATCCTCAGGTAGTGGAGGCTTCCCGAATGACAGTAGGGAAGACTCCAACCAGGCAAGTCCTGGTTACACTTAAAGGTGCCCCAACCACTACCCTTGACTTGGGTAACTGGGGCACCTTTAAGCTTCGAACGTTTGTGCCTGAACCACTTCGGTGTTTCAAGTGCCAGAAATATGGACACCACCAGGCTAACTGTACAGCCAAGCCCAAATGTGGTGTCTGTAGTAAGGCCCATAACACCGAGGTGTGCCTGACAGCCCACAGAGAAAAGAAGGAGACAACAGCCAAGTGTCCCAACTGTGCCAAGAGGCATCACGCCTGGAGCCTGACTTGCTCTGTCAGGAAACAGGCGGCCCTCAAGCGCCAAGAGGTTGCTGAAAAGCGACCAGATTTCATTCCTGCCCCCCCAGGCACATATGTGTGGGGCAGGAAGAAAAGTGAAAAGGCCCCCCAACCTCCTAAGAGGAAGGAAGCCGCCCCACAGCCGACACCGGAAGTCTCCAACACAACGGAGTTTCCGGAGATGCCGAAGCCGAAGAAGAAGCCAAAGAAGAAAGCTTCTAAGAAGGCATCAAAGCCCTCGTCGGGAGATGACGATCTCTTCGACGAGGCAGACATGACCCTCCTCGTGACTGCTGTGGTGACAGCAGTGGCGAAAGCCTTGGGGAGGACACGGGAAGAGGCGGAGAAGGCAGTGACGGTCGCCATGACGGCAATGACCAAAACTGTCGCTATCCTGAAAGGCAGAAAGCAGGACCGAGCACAACCAGCTCCTGCAGTTCAGGATGAGACTCCCCTCCCAGCTCCAAGCCAGGCACAACAGGCCGAAACTGCAGAGGCAGAAGCCGAAGCCGAATGTGCTGAGCCCGCCCCGGCGCGGCCAGCCAAAAGATCAGCAGATAGGTCTGAGCGAAAAGCCAAAGCTTCAAAAGTCAAAAGTACCCAAGGCTCTCCACCCCCCAGTGGACCCAAGGTTAACTTGACTTCAGACGAAGAAACCGAAGAGGACTTCGCGATGGTGGGTATGGCTTGTGACCGGGTCTCAGATGTAACTATTGATTAGTAACATCATGGCACACAATCTAAGCATTCTACAGTGGAACATATGTGGCTTTTCCGGAAGGAATGCCGTGCTCCAAGCAGTAGTGCGGTCAAGGAACATTGACGTTGTCATGCTCCAGGAGACATTAACGGTGGATAATGTTCGCTTCTCAGGGTATCACGTATTTATGCTACCTCAAACTGCCGGCAAAAGAGGACTGATCACCCTTGTGAAAGCAACAATCCCCTGCTCCGCAATAGCCGATGCACCGCACTGTGGAGAAGAGACAGAATCTCTCGCCGTAGAGATCCAACTGCAGTTTCTTCAGAAAGAAATTGAGAGAATTGAGAGATCAGAAACCTTCAAAGTTGTGTTGGGGAAGGCAGAAGGACGTTTTGTGGAATCTGAGAAAAAAAGAGTGCCGTCTGCATCAGCTCTTTACACATCGTCTGAAGTAGGATCTTCTTATTGCGCATTCTGTAGCAAGAAACACAAGTCTGAGAAGTGCTGGGATATTCAGAGGCTCTCATTAAAGGAACGTGAAGAAAAAATTAAAACAGCCCGTTTATGTTTTAAGTGTCTAAGTAAAGGACATATTGCCAGTGGCTGTCGAATCAAGTGTTCCAAGTGTAATGGAAATCATAATTCTCTTCTGTGTAGAGCAAAGGGTGAAATAAACACAGATAAAGCTATGGAAGGTGATATGAGTGTTAAGAAGGTTAGTGATAATGCCGAACCTTCTTCAGAAAATTGCAGTCCTCGCGTGAATCATGTTGGAGTTGCTCTTAGCAAGTGTAATGTGTTGACAAAAACTAGCTGTGTGTTACAAACAGCTAGAGTTAAAGTGTATGGTGATTCAGGTATTTGTTGTGAAGCCACCTTGTTGTTTGATACTGGCTCCGATAGATCCTATGTATCCAGTAATCTTGTGAAGAAAGTTAAGCCTAAGTGGGTGAGTTCGGAAACAGTGTCATATGCTGCTTTTGGAGGTAGTAAGTCTCCTCCAGGTAAACAGAGTAATATCTTTGATTTGAAATTAGTGGGTTTACAAGGTTTAAAACATTTAATGGCATTAGAGATTCCAAAGGTTTGTGCTCCGTTAACTAGACCTTGTATTCCTAGTAAATTGGTTGATGCCTTTTCAGATTTCCAACTTGCTGATGATTACAAGAATAATAGTCACCTAAGTATAGATATACTTGTAGGTTTGGATGCTTATTGGGGATTTATGGACCCTGAAATAAAGCCATATCAGAGTAATGGATTAGTAGCTCAAAAGTCTGTATTTGGTTGGGTTTTGTCTGGCTCATGGATGAACTCTTCTGACAAGCCATTTGAGTCTACCCAAATGTTATGCATAGGGAATGTAACGGATTCTGATTTAAGTGAATTTTGGAGTTTAGAATCTGTTGGAATAAATCAAAAGGAAACTGTTTCTAACCCATTTACCTCAGACCCTGTTCTACAGCAATTTTGTGGAAATGTTGAGTTTGATGGGGAGCGTTATGAAGTAGGCTTACCCTGGAAGTCAGGTGAATGTAAGAAGAATCTTAGAAATAATGAGGGACTTGCTAGAAAAAGACTAGAAGGATTAGAGCGTAAGTTAGATAAGGACCCACAACTTAAGAAACAATACTCTGAGGTGTTTACTGGCTATGAAGAAGAGGGAATAATTGAGGAAGTCCCTTCAAATGAGGTTTTAAGTTCTCAGCCTACATATTATATGCCTCATCGTCCTGTTGTTAAAGAAAGTAGTGCTTCAACTAAGATTAGGCCAGTTTTTGATGCTTCTGCAGCTAGTTACAATGGCATTTCTTTAAATGATTGTCTTGAGTCTGGTCCTTCACTTAATCCTGATCTTGTGAAAGTTTTGATTCGTTTCAGAAGGTGGAAGGTTGCACTGACTGCTGATATTACCAAGGCTTTCTTACAGATCTGTGTTCAGGAAAAGGACCGAGATGTGCATCGCTTTTTATGGAAATGCAAAGACTCCATTAGAATTATGAGGTTTGTTCGTGTTCCATTTGGCAACACAAGTAGCCCTTTTTTGCTAAATGCAACTATTAAACATCACTTACAGTCTTTTCCTAATACTGAAGTCATAGAAGAATTAAAGGAAAACCTTTATGTGGATGATTGGCTGTCGGGGGCAGACAGTGCAGAAGAGGCTTCTGTTAAGTTTAAAGAAGCTCAGAGAATTTTGGCATTAGGTGGGTTTCCTCTTTCTAAATGGCATTCAAACTGTAAATTACTGACTACAAAGTTCAATGACAAAATTGATCATGGTAATGAACACGTATCCACCAAGGTTTTAGGTATGAAGTGGTTATCCTTAACAGACCAGTTTGTCTTTGAGGAATTTGATTTTGACTCAGAGACACAGTTAGTGTCAACAAAAAGAGCAGTACTCAGTCTCATAGCCAAACTTTTTGACCCTCTTGGTTTGATTAGTCCCTTTGTCATGTTTGCTAAAATCCTCTTTCAGGACATATGGAGACTTGGGCTTGATTGGGATGAAGTACTACCTAATGAGCTGCAAAATAAGTTCCATAATTGGGTTAAAGGTATTGCTGCATTTAAATATTGGAAGATAAATCGGTGCTATTTTCCAGAAATATCATGGAGAGAGTTGTCGGGTCTAGAACTTCATGACTTTGGTGATGCTTCAGAGAAGGGGTATGGAGCTTCTGTGTATTTGAGAGTTCCCCTTGTGGATGGGACATACCAGGTGTCATTTGTAGTTGCAAGGTCTAGGGTAGCTCCTATAAAAAGGGTTACTTAACCCCGACTAGAGTTGCTTGGTGCTTTACTTTGTGCACGGCTCTTAGATTTTGTGAAGTCTGCCCTATATCTTGATAAGACAGTAACCTATTGTTGTTGGACTGACTCAAAGGTTGCACTTGCATGGATAAAGGGTAATCCTAGTAGGTGGAAGGCATTTGTGTCAAATAGAGTTGTTGAAATTCAGAGTCTCACCTCCCCATGTCACTGGTACCATTGTTCAGGGAAGGAAAATCCTGCTGATCTCATTTCTAGAGGGGAGTTAGCTGAGCCACTTGTGAATTCTACTTTATGGATGAATGGGCCTTCTTGGTTGTCTAAACCTTTAACTTTAAGTGACAAAGGAGAAGCTGTGGAGCTACCTGTAGAAGAAAGTTACAGTGAAAAGAACATTTCTTGTGTATCTGTAACCACTCCTAAAATATTTGAGTTTGAGAGATGGAGTCAGTTCAATAAAGCCCATCATGTAGTGGCTTGGGTTATGAGATTTATAAACAATACCCGACCTCATTCTGTAAAAGTGTCAGGTCCATTGTCTTCTGATGAGTTGGTTAAAGCCAAGACCAAATTGTTTTACTGTGTACAGAGAGAGAAATTTGCTCATGAAATTGCCGACTTGAGAAAGGGTAAATCTCCTGCAAGGAGTTCCCCTTTGTGTAGACTAGATCCCTTTGTAGATGATGAAGGCCTGTTGAGAATTAAAGGACGTTTGGAGAATGCAGACTTGAGTTTTGAAAGCAAACACCCTGTTATAGTTCCCTCAGGTCATGTTGCTAAGCTCTTGGTTCAATTTCAGCATATTTTCTTGAAGCATGCTGGAGTATCCACCATTGTATCTACTTTAAGAGGCAGCTATTGGATAGTGGGAGTCAGACGAATTGCTAAAACTGTTTGTAGAGTGTGTGTTCGGTGTAAGAGGTTTGATTCCAGGGCTTGTAATCAGCCTGCTGCACCCCTACCAGGATTAAGAGTTAAGATTGCTCCTCCCTTTACTGTGACAGGTCTTGATTATGCTGGTCCTCTTTTTTGTATTGATTTACCTTCCAAGAAATTATACATTTTGTTGTTTACATGTGCCGTAATAAGAGCAGTGCACCTAGAACTTACTGATTCACTATCTCTCTCCGATTGCATGCTGGCTTTACGTAGATTTGCAGCACGAAGAGGCATTCCATCTGTCTTTTATTCAGATAATGCTAGAACATTTTTGGGTGCAGCTCGTCAACTTCAGCAAGAATATGGTCCACTGTCTCCTCAGTGGAAATTCATTGTGTCCCGTTCTCCATGGTGGGGAGGTTGGTGGGAACGTTTGATTAGGTCTGTTAAGTCTGCTTTGAGGAAAACAATAGGTATTAGAAGTCTGTCTAGAATTGAGCTTGAGACCACTCTTCAAGAAGTTGAGGCTTGTGTAAATTCTAGACCTTTGACCTTTGTTGGAGATGAACCTGATGTTTCAAATCCTTTGACACCTTCACACTTTCTCATTGGACGTAATGCTGGACTCCAACTTGAGATTAGTGATCAACCTTCATATGTTACAGGAAAGGATTTAATTATCCGAGAAAGTGTTCGCCAGCAGCAACTTGATAGATTTTGGAAATTATGGAGCAATGATTATCTGAGAAATTTGCCGCCTGCTGTGAAAGGATTTGTGCCAAATTGCAATGTAAAAAAAGGTGCTGTTGTCCTAGTCAGAGAAGACCATGTTTCTAGGCTTAAATGGCCATTAGGTGTAGTTACTGAAGTATTCCCTGGTAATGATAATATCATTAGGAGTGTTAGGGTTAAAACTGACAAAGGAACAGTCAGTAGACCAGTGCAGAAGTTGCATGATCTTGAAATGTATAATCCTCTATGAAGATTCTGAAGAAAATATACCATCAGTTCTTGGAAACGGTGAAAATGGTTCCTCTGAGCCTTGTGAAGAGAACATTGTGAAATGCACCTCCTATAGTCGATGGGGTCGTGCAATAAGAACCCCAGTGAAACTTGATTTGTAA